TTGTTCCTCAAGGTTTTCGTCTTCCGATCAAGAATCGCCACCAGCCTCTCAATATAACCTAGGCGGTCATCCACCTGAATATCCTCCAATGGTGGCACCACTGCATAATCATCCACTAAGCACTTCCGCAGCTGAGAGACATGGAACGTGTTATGAATCTGACTGAGCTCATCTGGAAGATCCAAGCGATATGCAACCCGGCCCACCCAAGCCAAAACCCTGAAATGACCAATATGCATGGGGCCCAGCTTGCCCCTCTTCCTTAATCGGATGACACCTTTCCAAGGTGACATCTTCAGGAGAACCATATCCCCCACCTGGAACTCTAAGTCTGACCGGCGTCTGTCGGCATAAATCTTCTGCCGACTCTGAGTTGTCTACAACCTACTCCAAACCTGATGAATCAGCTCAATGGTATTGAGTACCACCTCGGTACTCTCCATAACTCATTGACCGACCTCACCCCAACAAATTGGGATCCTGAATTTCCTCCCGTAGAGCATCTCGAAAGGAGGTCGATCAATGCTGGCGTGGTAATTGTTGTTATACGAAAATTCCGCTAACGGAAGATACGTATTCCAACTCCCACCAAAGTCCAAAACACACGCCCGCAGCATATCCTACAGGGTCTAAATAGTCCGCTCGCTCTGACCATCGGTCCGTGGATGGAATGTTGTGCTGAAATGGAGACGAGTACCTAACTCGTCATGAAATCTCTTCCAAAAACCTAGAAGTAAACGGGACATCTCTGTCATAAACCACTGAAACCGGCACCCCATGACGTGCCACAACCTCCCTGATATAAATCTCAACCAAGATCTCTGCAGAAATACTCTCCTGAATCGGAGTGAAATGCACGCTCTTGGTCAACCGATCCACGATGACCCAGATCGAATCCACTCCACGCGCAGTCTGGGGGTAACTTCGTGATGAAATCCATAGTAATATCATACCATTTCCATACGGGAATCTCCAACGGTTGCATCTTGTCGTGAGGTCGCTGGTGCTCGGCCTTGACTTTCCTGCAAGTTAAGCACTGCTCCACATACCAAGCCACATCCCGCTTCATGCAGGGCCACCAATAATCAGGACGAAGATCCATATACATCTTCGTCGCCCGGGATGAATAGAGAACCTAGACTTGTGTGCCTCCTCCATCAAAACCTGACGCACACCGCCCTAATACGGAACCCAAACCCGTCGATGGAGAGTCAACAACCCACGATTATCATAATCGAAGGAAGCCACCTGAACCACAATGCGCTCACTCTTCCGGTGCTCTTCCTTCATAGACTCGACCTGAACCTCACGAATCCGCTCCAACAGCGGAGTAATCACGATCATCCTCAAACATATACCTCTGATCAGAGCCGTGACCGTCTTGCGGCTGAGAGTATCGACCACCACATTGGCCTTCCTCGGGTGATAAAGGATCTCACAATCGTAATCCTTGACCACATCCAACTACCGGCGTTGCCTCATATTCAGATTTGGCTGATCCATTAGATACCTCAGGCTCTTGTGATATGTGTAAATGGTACAACGGACCCCATAGAGGTAATGCCACCAAATCTTGAGGGAAAAAACCACATCCCCTAGCTCCAAATTGTGCGTCAGATAATTCGCCTCATGAGGCTTCAGCTGCCTCGAAGCATAAGCGATCACCCGAACCCTCTACATCAACACTGACCCTAATCCCGTGATTGACGCATCACAATAGACCACAAAATCCCCAACACATCTAGCAGGGTCAGAATTGGAGCCTCACACAACCACTGTCTCAAGGTCTCAAAAGTTGCCTGCTGCTCATGCCCCTAGCAAAATGTAACCGTCTTCTTTTTCAACCGAGTCAAAGGAACAGCTATCTTGAAGAAATCCTAGATAAATCTCCGATAATAACCCGCGGGACTCATAAAACTCTGAATCTCAGATGGAGACCTCAGGACCTCCCATTGTATCATGACCTCAACTTTTGGCCGGATCGACCAAAATACCATTTTGGTTCACAAGGTGCCCATGAAACTGCACCTCGCGCAACCAGAACTCACACTTGGAGAACTTTACAAAAAGTCTCTCCCTCCTCAAAGTCTCCAACACTTCCCTCAAGTGCTCCTCGTGCTGCTTCTGAGTCTTGGAATAAATCAAGATATCATCGATAAATATAATCACAGACCGATCCAGCATCGGCCTGCAGATGCAGTTCATGAGATCCATGAACACGGTTGGAGCATTGGTGAGCCCAAAATGCATCATCACGAACTCGTAATGACCATAACGAGTCCGGAAAGCTGTCTTCCTACACATCCTCATCCCTAACCCTCATCTGATGATAACCCGATCGCAAATCAATCTTGGAAAACCAAGATGCACCCTGAAGCTGGTCGAAAAGATCATCAATCCTCGGGAGTGGATAACAGTTCTTCATACCTTATTCAACTCCGGTAGTCAATGCACATACAATGAGACCTATCCTTCTTCTTCACAAATAAGATCGGTGCTCCCCATGGCGAACTGCTCGGCCGAATGCATCCATTGTCCAACAGCTCCTACAGTTGTGTAGACAACTCTTGAATCTCGGGAAGAGCCAACCGATACGGTGCTTTGGCTATCGGAGCTGCACCTGAAACCAAATCAATCCTGAACTCAACCTGCCTCTCCGGAGGCACCCTAGGCAAATCTTCCGGAAACACGTCCAGATAATCTCGCACAATCAGCACATCATCCACAGTCGCATTACCCTTATCCCGGGTATCCATAACATAGGCGACAAATCATGAGCAACCCTGCTGAATATAGCGTCTGGTCCTTGCTATTGAACATAATAACGGCCCACTCTGAGCTCTCTCCTCCTGAACCACTAACTCTCCCCCCACTTGGGGTTCAGTCCCCGACTAACTGTTGTTCACAGTCAATCACCGCCCCATTAGAGCTCAACCAATCCATGCCCATGATAACCTTGTTCCCACACAAAGGAATAGGAACAAAATCTACTAAATACTGCTCACTGAACAGCTGGAAAGTACAACTCTGATGAACCCTCGCCACCCAGACACACCGATCATCTGTAATCTCGACATCTAAAGGACAATCCAGCTCCCCCGGAGCTCCGACAAACCTCTTGCTAAGCGCAAGTGACAAAAAGGACCGAGTAGCCCCCGAATCAAACAATACCAATGCATAAATGTCGTTCACAAGGTACGATCCTAGAATAAAACACATAAATATAAGCAGAAAATTCAATATAAATAAATAGATAAGGAGAAGATACATACCTGTCACCACATCAGGTGTCGCGCGAGCCTCCTTGGCCGTCAACTGAAAAACCCTGCTCTTCACCACAGGTGCATCCGCCCGGCCCTGGCGGTTGTCAGTAATCCGAAGAGTTACAGGAGCGGGTGCTGACACTGGTCTTGCTGCAGCCAAACTCGAACAGGCCTTCTTGTGGCCCCTCTGATTGCAATGAAAGCAAACCAGATCAGATATTGGGGTGGTGGTGGTAGTAGCATTGCAATCCCTGCTAATATGACCCGTCCGGCCATACTTGAAGCAGCCTGAACCACCCACCATGCACGCTCCCTTGTGCACCTTGTTGCACTTGCCACAGCAGCTCCGCCCTGATGGCCTATCCCTGAAATCAGATACCTTGGGCCTCTTGCCCGAACCCTCAACACTTGGCACATAATATGACTTCCTCTTCTTCTCCATCTCCATCTCCATATCAATCTCTCTCTCTTTTCTCTCTCTCTCTCTCTAGCCCTCACTATCATATCCTCCAACGTCCTACAGTTGGATCGGCTCACAAACTGTCGAATATCTCTCCTCAACATCTCATGATACCTCACCTTCTTCATCTCCTCATCAGCCACATACTGCGGAACCAAAAGTTCCCTCTCCCGAAACATCACGGTGATCTCAACTACCGTCTTAGTGGTAAGGCGGAGATCCTGAAACTCTCGCGCCAACTGCTGCACCTCAATCACTGGTGCAAACTCATCCCTGAACCTGGTCATAAAATAATCCCAGGTCATCGAATCAACAGCCTCATCACCAACTGCGCGCCCGACTTCCTCCCACCAATCTCGTGCCCTGTTCTTCAGAGGACAGGAGGCAAGTCTGACCTTTGCCCCTCGGGGGCAACTGTTGGTGCGAAAGGCGTTAGCAACATCCGCTAACCACCTCCTACTCGCTATCGGGTCCTTTGCCCCATAATAGTCTGGAGGTCCACATGTCTGGAACTCCTTGAAGGTCAAAGAACGTGCCCCAACCAAGGCCACCATCTCAGAACGAAAGGTACTCAACCGTTCATCCAAAATCTCTAGAATGCCCTCCTTGACCGTACTAAAGATCACAGGAGTCTACTCAAGAATGCAATGTGTAATCTCAGACGAAATGAACTCCCTCGTCTGATCACCCAACTGCCCGGCTCTAGAACCTGAGTCCGAGCCCTCTCCAACACCAAAACTACCAACAGGTCTGCCTCGCAATGTCACCATACTCAAAATAGACCATATAAACCATTAGAATACGCATCAAAATATATCGAGGGATCACAACTCTACAAGCTCCCTGATTTCATCACGACTTTCAATTCTTTGAATGTTAACTCATAGATATAGTTTTAAATGTTTTAAATATTCAACAAATTTAACGAACCGGGTACTCACTAGGTGAACCGATACCCATCGGTTCTGATTCCGGTTCCAAATAATTAAGGCGGATATCCGCCTACACTCATCCCTAAGTAGTGAGGTATACAGACCGAGTAACAAAATTTTAAATTGAAATTGAACTAAAATCGATTTGTCAAAAATAACTGGACATTTGTATTCTCTTAAACTTTTATTTATGGGCTTATTTTAGTCTCAAGAAGACAAGAACAGGAGGAATACTTTATTGGGCCTAAACTCGGACACTGACTCACTGAGCATCACATTTTTCTAAACTGTATCCCCCAAAATAACACATAGATGATCAACGCGTAAAACCCTTGAAATTTAATCATGTTTGTCCTCCGCAAAACCCTAAAACCATCGTCTGTCTTCACCACAATCCACCGATTCATAGCCACCGTTAATCTCCCTGAACCACCGAGCTCCGCTGCGTACGACGACCTAATCGCCAGTGCCGGTCACAAACGAGACTTCGCCACCGTTCACAACCTCCTTAATCAACGTTATGCGAAAGGTTTCCTCACCACCAACAACACATTCAAGTTCATTTCAACGGACATCTCTGTTCTCGATGAGCTCTTAAAAACCTTATCAGCTCTCAACGAAGGACACTGCCGCAAGAGCGCGTATGATTCGCTCATCTCATGGCTCTGCAAGGTGAAGCTCACCGAAGCTGCTCTGCGAGTGGCGGACGCGGCGATCCATGGAAAATACGGCGCCGATGCTTCCAGTTTTCACCCAATCCTCAGCCTCCTCACACGGAAGAAGAATTTCGACGAAGCGTGGCGCGTGATCGAGTTCATGAGAGCGAATGGCATTTCTCGTGATATTACATCTTACAACTTTTTTCTAACATCATACTCAATCACCGGAAATCTGAAATCTTGCGCCGATGTTCTGAAAAAAATGGGAGGGGAAGGACTGAAGGCGGACGGTAGGACGTACGATGCGCTGGTGCTCGGCGCGTGTAAGGCGGGGAAGATGGATGGGGCGATGGCTATTCTGAGGAGGATGTTGGATGATGGAATTGAGGCTATGTACGCCACCTATGCGCATGTTATCGGAAACCTGGTGAAGTTAGGCTATTGTGCGCAGGCGGTGGAGTTTGTAATGAGTTACGCAGGTAAGAACCCAAAACTGGACTCACATAATTTTGGGTTATTGGCCACTCGTTTGATAGCAGTTGAAAAAGTGAACGAAGCTAAGTATGTATTAGAGGAAATGGTAAAAAGGGATATACAATTTGGTGAAAAGTTGCAAAAATTTTATAACGAGAAAGTTAAAGTTTAAACTAAATTTTGCATTTTGGGTGTTTGACAATTGATTATATATTGGATAGACACTGCAAATATATGTTCTTCCACCATTTGATGGTCAATACAATACATAAAAACATATTTGGTATCAATTTTTCATACATGTATATGTATAACTAGATACATACTTAAAAACATGTGTAAGCATCTAAATGAAGAAATGAAGAGACTATGTAGATCTCATAAATCATTAAAAAAAATACTAAAATTGTGATAGAAACAAGTTTTATGGTTTGGACATGGAAATGGTCAGCAAAGAAAAAGAGAGATAATGGATGGTCAAATAGGGGAAAGACTACTAAAACCAATGGGATTGGCAGTCTATGTGATAGAAATTTATTCCAGGCATTCTAATTCCTATGTATTAGTCATAGGGTTGCAGATGTGAAATTGTACAAAATGCAAATATGCTAGAATCCACAAGGATGGTGTGGCTTGTAAGAGGACAAAAGAATCTTAAAATGGGGTTGATTGTAAGATGGTATCAACTTTCTTTGTACACGGTAGGGGTGTAAACTCAAAGCTCGACTTCCCTAAAATACATTGTATTTTACATACATCCAAAATAACCAAATATAAAAACAAACATTCTTCAATGCAATATAACAGGATCCATTCAACCCTCAACAACTTTTTCAACAACAGCAAAAAAACAAATTGTAGACACAAAGCACAAATTCAGCACCAAAACAGTCTCTTGTACCTATTAAAATATACATATTAAAATAGTAACAATTACAGCACAAATAACCAAAAAAACAAACAAACAAACAAATTAACCGAAAATAGCACTAATAAAACAACAGTAGCAAAAAAAACACCAACTTAACCTAAAATCAACAAAAAAAAATTACAGTTTTAAACATTTCAAATATAATTACTTCTCATATATTTGTTACGGAATGAAAAGATTAATCTCTATTTATTGCTTTTTTTTTTAAATGCATAAACACGAGAACAATACATGTATTTAAATTAGAAAATATACATAAAAAGTAATGAGAAACAAATGAATCATGCATTGTTCTTTTTATTTTTCAAACCATGGAGGTAGGACTATAAACGAACTGAATGTTCAGCAAACAGTTTGTGAACCGTTCGGCGTGAAGTTCATTTATTTAATAAATGAACGAACATGAACACAAATTCTTGTTCGTTTAGTTAAACGAACGAACATGAACAATGATCTCGTTCGTTCATTTATGTTCGTGAACGTTCGTTTATGTTGTTCGTTTAAGTTTACTTATTTTCATATATGTTCTATTGTTTTTTTATTACATTACTATATTCTTTATTTGTTTATGTTCGTTTAGCATGGTCACGAACATAAGCGAATGAACATGAACAAGGTAATTTGTTGAATGAACGAACATGAACAAGAAAACTCGTTCGTGTTCGTTCGTTTGTTTGGCTAACTTAAATGAACGAATATGAACAAGCTTTTGTTCGTATTCGTTCGGTTCGTTTACATCACTAGATGGAGGATTCGACACCAATCCCTTCCACATAGTAAGACTTCAACCGTTTCGGGGAGCTAAGGATGCTCCATATGTGTCAATAACTAACCCACACTAAAAGTAGTTTTCGATGCAAGAGTAGTGATAGGAATAGGAAGTATATCTCGAGCCATGTGTGACAATATACAATACTTTAATGAATTTGATCGTCACCATTGTAAGGCATCAAATGGTGTTGGATCGACATTACAAATGTTATAACCCTCTTCAAGATAATTATTTAAATCTGATTTTTGTGGTTGTATATTTTCAAGTGTTCTTACAAATTGAGCAAACTCAGACCACCCAGAAGATGCAAGTTGAATATTCACATTGTTTCCACTTAAACCAACAAAAGTTTCATCATTTCCTTCACCACCACTGGAGTAGTATTCATCCACATATTCTCCATACAATTCATATAAAGCTTTTTTCACTGTGTCTATATTTTCAAGAGCTTCACGTTCAAGATACATATTAGGAAAGCAAAACTTAATAAACCTTATTTTGCACCTAGGATCTAAAATAACACCAATCGACATCATCAAGTTGCACTCTCCCCAATACTTATCAAATTTATGTTTCATGCACCCAACCATGTCATGAACAAACTAATCTTCATTGGGACCTTGCGATTTCTTATCCAATAAAACTTTGATTCTATAAACTTCATTAAGAAATAAGTTTGAAGTGGGATACTCACTACAATAGATAATATTAGTTGCAGAGTAAAAAACTTCTAGAATCTCACATACCTTTTCCACCTTTGCTCCTTGTTCCTGAGTTATTTATTTATTTATTTATTTTGTAAATTCAATAAAGGAAATGGATGGAAAATATTGACAGGAAGAAAGGGAAGGGAAGGAAAATTTTCTTATTCAGTGTTCCCGAGTTTGAGGGAAATGAAAAGAAAATTTTAAGTTTTTGTGTTTTCTTCCGGAATCCGCCAAATTTGGGAGGAAATTTTGGTAAGAAAATATGGCTCCAAAATCTTTACCTTCCCCTCACTTTCCTTCCATCAGTTAAACTCGGGAACGTGATTTTCCTTTGACATCGCTCACATTACCTCCATACTCATCCATATCCCTCCTTAAATAGAACTCGGGAACAAGACATTAACCAATCTTCATTGGTGGGACAACTAAGGTAGTGTGGCTCTTTTTCTTTGTATATTGGAAACACCTCTTTAAATTTGATTGCAGATGAAAACATCTCATATGATGAATTCCATATTGTCTTGCATTCAAGAATAAGCTTTCATTTAGAAGATGTTCTAAAAAATTGAACTGGCGCTTAAAAGTGTTAAAACTTAAAAGCCTTAAAATGATCTTTCAGTAATTATTAAATATTTGAAAGTATATATAAGGGATCATGACTTGAGAGGGTAACATACTATTGCTTTTTGTCACATTTGATCACTAAACTTTTTTTCGTGCTCTAATAGCCATTTAACTTGTTCATTCGTGTAAATTTCCCCCCCTACGACTGCTTTTTGCCGGTTTCAATGGATTGGTCGATCCTACGTGTCAGTTTGATCCTACGTGGCATGTAGGGCTAATGTTATTAAAAGAGGGGTGTATGTGGTTCCTTGATTGTGCCCTAATACCCTGATGGCTTCCTCCTACAGCTTCTCATCATCCCTCAATCGATCAAGCAAGAAATCAACAACGAACGATCCAAAAACTTGTGATTGTGGGTTCCTTGCACGTATTCTAACGTCAACAACACGAAAGAATCCAGGGAGGCATTTCATGGTGTGCAATGAGGTAAGCTATTTCACTTGAATCTTCTCCCTTTTCTGATTCTTTTTTCCTAATTTGAAATCTCATTATGAGTTATTTGTGTTGAAGGGTAAATGCAAATATTGGAAATGGTTGGATGTAGAACCTGTACAAATGCCTCTAATGGAAGTGGTGGAGGGAATGAAAGCTGAATTAGTAGCATTGAAGACCGAAGTAGAGAAGGTGAAGGAAGACATGGAACAAATGAAGAAGGAAAAGTACTCTGATGCCATTGCAATGAAGGAAAAAATATATAAGTTTACCATAGGATTTCTTTTTTTGATCATCATGTATATGATGAAATGATGTGAAATGATGTATTGAAAGATGTTGTTTGAATGGAATGAAGGCATTATCTTAACTTCTTGTTGGAATGGAATGAAGTAATTTTGACTGGAATGGAATCACAAAGTAGTAATTTTGACTGGAATGGAATCACAAAGTAGTAATTTTGACTGGAATGAAGGCATATATGTACAATTAATAACATTACACATCAAGACTTCTTTCAAATGCAGTCAAAAGCTTAGCTAATCTCCCATAATGCTCAATTAGACTTCCTTCAATTAACAACATTACACATCAAGATGTCTAAATAACTTGTAACAGACTAGAAAGTAGGAAATGACGAAACTACCCTTGGTAGTTAAAACTGATTAACTGTCATATTATCTAAGCTAACAATATATGATTCCATTCTTTGACTGTAATGGAATCACTGAGACAACAATGCATAGAAATAACAAGAAACTAATTGAATATGGTGGTTGAATTCATTGAAATACTCCATCAATATTCGAAATTAAATAAAGGGTAAGTAGTTGTCTGCATACACAAAAGATAGGACAAAAGATTCCTTCTAGGGACCACAAAAGAAGGGCCACCATGTGCCCACAAACCCAAAAGAAAAGCATAAATAAAACATAGTATTGTCTTTACATCACAACTTGATAACAAAAGATGTGCCCACCCACTACCTACACACCAACTTAATTAAGGACTGCAGGGTTCTCTGCACTGCTCCCAACCCCATGTATGTTCCTCCTCAATGCCATTTTGACAATCCTTTCAGAATATTTCCTCCGTCCACTTCTACCAATTGGGGCCCTTCTTGGGACAGGCCTTGCAGCTGCTGCTGGTTTTTGCATCACTACCAATTGGGGCCCTTCTTCTTTTGGGAGGCAAAGGCTTTCGATAAGGAACTTCTGGCTACATATCACTACCATTGAGAGGGTTAATGCTATAATTATAGCATTTTAGATAAGCCTCTTTACTGTATGATTGGGACACATATGTTTCTGCATCTTGATTCAGGGAAGAGATTGCAGCTACTCCATGTAAGCATGGTATCCCTGTAAGTTGCCATATTCTGCATGCACAAGTCTTTGCAATTAGATCCACTCCATATGCTGCATCATTGAACCTAACTTCATACTTTTGATAACCACAAGGAGTAACCCCCCACAATCTGTATAAGGAAATAATGACTACAAATTAATAACTAATAACACAAACTAATAAAACCCATTTTTTGAATTGTAAAACTACATGTTACCTCTGTTTAACCTTCAAATCTTGTATAAGCTTCCTAATACTTGGACAGATAGTCAAATCCCATTCAATTCCTTCTATTCTTTGACTGTATATCCTCTCCATCACAAATATCCTAATCTCCTCTAGCATAGTGATGATTGGTTTCCTTCTAGCATGCCTAATAGCAGAATTGAAACTCTCACTCACCCCATTCTCAACTACATCACAATCTTTTCCCTCTTTAAAAAATGCCTTAGACCAGGTAGTAGGATCTCTGTCTATAAGGTAGTCATATGCTTGAGTATCTAAAGATTTGATCTTTTCCATTACATGTTTGAACTTCTGTTCAGTACTAGCTTTGACAGCCCTCCAAAAAAGCTTCCTGAAATGTTGACCAGTAAACCTTTTAGCAAAATTAGCCACAATGTGTCTGGCACATTGTCTGTGTTCAGCTTCTGGACACCTTTCTTTTACTGCTTCTAGCAACCCCTACAAATAACAACAACACAATTAGTGAAACATGCATAAAAATAGATGTATAAATATGAACCAATGCTCACCTTGTGTCCATCAGAAAGAAGGGTAATGCCTGCACCAAGACCACCATCAATATCATCCATGAGGAGATCTATGAACCACTTCCATGTGGCCTTGTTCTCAACTCCAACTACAGCCCATGCTATAGGGTAGATGTGGTTGTTTGCATCCCTCCCTACAGCTGCCAAAACTTCTCCCCTAACAATACCCTTTAGAAAGCAACCATCAAGGCCAATCACAGGCCTACACCCTTCCTTCCAACCATCACTTACAACTTTAAAGCAGACATAGTACTTAGAAAACAAAGTTGTGGAATCTCGCATGATGTCTACATCCATCCTCACAGTAGACCTAGGGTTTGCCCCTCATAATTTCATGACCATATGACCATAATCTCCCATAATGTTCAATTAGACTTCCTTCAATTTCTTGTAATGCAAATTTCTTTGCATTTCTGCATTGCCCTACACTCACATTTATATTGAATGTTGTTGAAACTTTAGTTTTCATCTTCCTAACACTCATTTTTGGCTTCTCTATAATTTCACTCATAAACTGTTTGCCTAATCACTTATAAGTTACTATGGACCCAAACTTAAACACCCTGCTACAATTATGTTCACTAACTAAAGATTTTATCTGAAAAGTCCTCTCTTTACTCATCCAAGAGGCCCAAAGTCTAAATGGACAAGTAGGTGACTTGTTTTTTTGCAACACTTAACTAACAACCTTTGGGAGTCATTTTTTTCAAACCAGAGATCATATCCATTAGCAACTGCATAGTTGCTCAACATGTTTGTAAGCTCATCAGGGTTAGAAAATCGCATACCTAAAAGTGGTTTCATCTGATTCCATGGTTGTCTATCATCATGTACAGGTTATTGAGGTTCAACATATCCAGCATCTTCATATACATCATCTACATTTAATGTGTGTAGACAAAGTTTGTTTAAGAACCTATCACCCATGGTTTTGTTGGCTGGGAATGGATATTCAGCATCATCTTCTTCATGGTCAACATAATAAGTGTCCGACAATACTGAGTCTTCATCATCTTCACAGCTGTAGTCTTGATCTTCATTTTCCTCCTCCTCAATCCATTCGAAGATTGGTTCATTATAGTGGTCCACATACACATTCATTCTCCTCTCATTTGCATAAGCCAAATCCAAAAATTCTTTGTAATCACCGTCATTCACCAGTGTATGAATTCCCTGACTTAAAGACTCTTGTGGAAGGCATAAGTAGATGTCTTTGCTTCTAGTTCTGGTGAGCTTTTGAAGGAATTCCATGAACTCCTCGTACTTAAATGCACTGAAGTCAACATCTCCTACTGATTGTCTGTCGGGATCAAAGTATACTAATGGGTTGGGTGCAAACGTTCCATTGTAGTGGAAATCCACTACAATGAAGTTTCGATCAGTGGGACATTGTGATGAAGCCATTATAGAGACCGATTGAAGATTGAAGGAGAAAAAATCGGGGGTTAATGAGACTTGGTGCCCTAATCGAATTTAAGGACCAAACGAGACTTCACTCTTAACTTTAATGAGGATGAGAGGCAAAAGCGGGGCCTACATGCCACCTCATTGGCCACCTAGGATAAAAAAAGCCACATCAAACCCATGCAATCGTTGAAACCAGATATAATCAGTCATAGGGGGAAAATTTACACGAATCAACAAGTTAAATGACTATTAGATCACGAAAAAAAGTTTAATGACCAAATGTGACCAAAAGCAATAGTATGTTACCCTCTCAAGTCATTATCCCTATATATAAACACCTAAAGTGTAAAAATGTAATTTTATAAGTAGTGGATTAAGCTCGAAAGCTTTACGAGCCGATTATTTTACAACTCAAGCTTGACTCGATTTGGTTCTTAAGTAGCTCAAACTCGAGCTCGACTCGATTAAGTCGAGTCGATTTTGAATATTTGCCAAGTCGTTCTCGATTTTCTTACGAGTTGGTTCGTCTCATTGACACCCTACATATGGGGCTTTTTCCATCGTTGAATAACTGATTATGTATGTTTGGTTTGATAAACATTTTTTGTTTCGACTTTTATTGAATCTTCAATCTGGGAATAATATAATTGTATATAGCGTTAATAAATTCATCTTTAATCTGGGAATAATATAGCTATATATAGCATTAATAAAATCAACTTAGTAGAAACACATTTCTAAATTTTGTAAAGATTGACTTTTAAGTGTTTGTTTTATAGATTTTGAAGGAATTTGAATGAACTGGAATGTAAAATTTTATTAAATTTTACTTTTGGTCAATGTTGTAAAACTCAACCTATTCGACCGAAATACTTAGAATCAGGCATATGCCGATGCGGTTTTCTAAAAATCGGACTAACTTGGGTCCAACTCGTTCCAAATCAGATAAAATCGGTCCAACTCGGTTAACTCGACCAATTCCAAGAAACTCGGTCAATCTTGAAAAAACTTGGTCAAATCGGTCAGACTAGAGAATTTTGACTTTTTTTAATAAAATACTATAATTATTATTTAAATTCATCTATTTATTTATAAATTTTAATGAACTTATGATATATATATATATATATATATATATATATATATATATACTTATAAAGCTAGCATTTTTTCTTGAATCTCATGCATTTGAAACCCCATTTTTTAACTTCCTGAAACAACATTCATTTGAAACCCCCTTTTTTAACTAATGCAACTCAAAAGTTTTCTTAATTATGATTTAACACTCAAAAGTTTTATAACTTATATTATGTTTAATTAGCATTTAGTGAAAACTTTACTATAAAAATGTCAATCTTTTGGGAAGACATGCATACAAATCATATACAAATTTCAGAAAAAAAACAAACTTAAAGGTTTTTGTATTGGGTTGAGGTCTTATGACCAATTTTGGAGATATGCTATTATATTAGAGCTTTTAATTTGTAAGTTTGTTATACCAATTTGTTTTTATATTTTCTTCGTTTTTGGATTATTGTAATACAGTCGTTGTATATATTGTGGTTTAATCGTTAATATATTGATCATATGTTATATAGGGCGATGTCGAAAATATTTAATTAAATATTTTAAATATGTTTTTTTTTTGTAATTGTACTGTTTTAAAAAGATAATTAATTAAAACTCATACATATGTTATACTTTCCATCTCTCTCTCTCTCTCACTCTATCTCTCTCTCTCTCTCTCTCTCTATATATATATATATATATATATATATATATATATATATATATATATATATATATATATATATATATATATATATTATAATAGAGGTCAAAACACTTCAACCAAAATTCATTTAAAATCTAATATTTCAAATGCTTTTTAATAATGATTGTAAAAATTTCAACATCTGTTACTTAATTGATTGATTAAAAAAAATATTAATGTTTTGAAACTCCTAACTCTTAAACTTATATTATTTAATTTGTTAGTTAACTAAAATATTTTTCCTACATAAAGATAACATTTATATGTTTGGTTACTCATATTTGTTTATGTAATTAGAAAACAAGGTGTACATAGAATGACTACTTCAATTTCACATAGGAATCGATACCACTAGAGAAATATGTTGTCTTTAACCGGTGGTAGGAGATCCACATATCCTTTTTAATTATTTATATTAATGCTTAGTAATATCTATTTTATATTCCTATTCACTTTAATTTTTTAGGTACAAATTAAGGAATAGGATTCTCGGCGCACCAACATAAAGTCAAACGTACGCCTTGAAAAATATGTAATTAAAATTAAATATCATATTTACTAATCGACTTATTTTAAAACTCTTGATAACATTTATGTCTAATGATATATTTTAGGACTTCATTCTTAATTTCAATGTTTAATATTTGAAAGTTCATATATGAAACCTTGGATGTTTTGGTGTAATATAAATAGTGTAATACAAAGTTTATTAGTTCAATATTGTTTATTAATAGCTCATTCAAAATAACTTATTTCTTATTTTATCCAAAATATTATCGGACATAAGAAAGGTAGATTATATTAATGTTATACAAAAACTTATAATATATATTGGATATTATAAAAGTAAAAGTAAAGTTTATAAGGTATGGACTATATTAGATAGTATCAAAATATAAGTTGATGGATTTGTATGTTATTTGATAATTCGGTTAATGCCAAAACATGACTAAAAACGTAAATTTCAACATATTTCTATTTTTTCCCATAATTATTTTAACCACTTAAATACATTCTTGCGCAACGCACGAGGTTACGCCTAGTATATATATAGAGAGAGCTAGGTTCAAATGTGGATTGGTAACTATTGTGTGGTTGTAGGGACCAATCAAAATTTAGTAAACAGTAAATCATTAATTAAATCAAAAAGGTTATATTTGTAATATTACATATATATGTTAATTAATATCTAAATTTAAGAACTAAAATCCCTTTATTTCAGCAATCGCTTTCTAAATTACCCTATTAAAACCCACCTCTCACCACTCAGTCGTACAATTATCGCTTCACTGCTTCACGATCGTGACATTGCATCTTCACCTCTAACCCACAAAATCACAAACCCATGTGATTCAGACAGTCACAAAGTCATGTTGAAGAAGCCAACTAGGTTCATTTGGAAGAATCTAGTGTGCATGTTACTAGGGTTTAAGATCAAGATTCAACCGACTTATTTTTGTGCCTCGTACGATTGAAGAAGAGATGGGGGTCGAAGCTACCCCTTGCACTGGCGATGATGGTGTTAGTCAAAGGAGACCTCTACCCATTTGTTGTGTGTGCGATCAGACACTCTCAGCCGAGCCTGCTTCCATCGCTCCGATTATTGTGATTAACCTTCATCTTCCCGATTTCCAGTTCAATTATCCCGAACCTTTTGATTTTGTTTATAGTTGAGAGTCTTCCATTTATGTTTGAAGATACGACAAATCAAGCAAAGTCACAAATTGAGGATGTCAAATTGTCAATCTGATTCATTATTGAAATCTCGTTGCCCTCATATCGATGTCTTCTACTCCTTGAACATATGTTGCTCCTTCAAATTTAATTTTCTCCAGGTACGTTGCCTTTCCAATTAGTTTAAGGGACTAATATATGGGATTTTGGTATAAGAATTTACATCTAGAACAGTTCCAGTGATATGAAGGCGAAGTCTTATTCCATTACAATTCAAAATCCTAAGTTTTTATGTTTCTTGTTAAATATATTCATCTAATTGACCATCGATTAAAATAGTAGCAATTGAGAAGGCAGGTTTCTGGGTTAAATTTCATAACTAGAAAGTTGATTCATAAGTCCATATGTCTATTCAATGGTTTCATACGTTATAATTTTTATTATCACATAGAGTAATGTAATGTATTTGATTTACCTGATACATGTTATTTTAAACCTGTAAATTCTTTCAGAATTTTGGTCAAGCAATATTCTTTTAGAATGCGGAAGACTTGAGAAAGAGGATGACACATATTCTTTCAAAATGATGAAGGCCAATATTCTTTCAGAATTAGGAAGGGTGATGTTCTTCACATGTAGACCTGCAAATAGATCAGACCTAAATAACCAGAAGATAAAGGAAACTTTAGTTTTATTCTTTAAGAATACCTATCATTTTATAATGTTTGTTCTTTAAGAATGAACTTGAATATTAGATAAAAATAAGTTAAGTCTTTCAGAATAGGTATTTTTTTATTGTATGTTGAAGTATATTCATTCATATAAGAATGCATAATCAAAAAACGTTTTGTATGTTCATTCATGAGTAAAGTCATGTTATTATATATTCATTCTGTCAGAATAGAGATTTTTTATTGTATGTTCATTCTTTAAGTTATATACCTTCATTCATGTTAGAATGCATAATAATAAAAAGTTATGTATGGTTCTTTATTAACTTTTAAGTCCATAATCTTGATAATCAATTTCAAATCGTGAATTTATAGAAAGCAGGTGTATTTGTTTGGTTAGTAGCAAGAATATCTCACATTCCTTATTTTATTGTTAACCAAACTGACATAATTACCCTTACAACCATTTTGAGTGTATTATATTATACATGCTACCCTATTTTAATAGCCTACACCTTAAATCATATCCATTTATTCTTTTAATCTAGTGGTCTAAATTAATCTCTACACCCATACAATATATAACATCCACAAAATAACCTAACCCTATATATATATATATATATATATATATATATATATATATATATATATATATATATATATATATATATATATATATATATAATTTTCCTAAAGTTAATTTTATTATAATTTACCTAATCCTATTAAAATTTTCAATTCCACTAAGTTGTGTGTTGAAGTATTTGTTAATTCTTTGGCTAGTTGACAATTCTTCATATTCAGCTAAATTTTTTAGATTCGGTTAAATTTTGTGTCTGCTCCCATTAAATTCTTCAGATTTCATAAAATTTGGT